TTCCTCCCACTGGCTGTCTCTGTCTCCCTCTCTTCCCCTCTTTGCCTCTCTCTCACGCTCTCACTCTCTGTCTCTGTCTGTCTGTCTCTCTCTCTCTCTATATTTCATGTTGTTCCTTCCTCCCACTGTCTGTCTCAGTCTGTCTGTCTCTGTCTGTCTGTCTCTCTCTCTCTCTCTCTTTCATTTTGTTCCTTCCTCCCACTGTCTCTTCCTATCCCCCTCTCTTCCCCTCTTTGCCTCTTTCTCCCTCTGCACACACACACACGATCTGCAATAAGGAGACCGTGGCCCTCTCAGTCTAATCTACCTGAACTAACTCTAACTTAACATAAGCAATTCACGTATCAATCTATCCAAACTAGCTTATTCCTTTATATTTCGTTTCGGATTAATACCCGGTTCTCCTTGTATCTTTCAAAATTGCTCTGGGTCATTCAGAGATTTTTTTTTATATATATAAAATTTGCACACTAATTGATTACATTATTTCCCTCTTAATGTTTATATCTCTCTACAACTCTTACGGCTGATGCTGGGCTTTTTTTTTGGCGAAATAATATAATTCGCACGCGTACAATGGTGCAGTGCCATAAGCTTCCTCAAGATATGGGTTTTATGGAAATCATTTGTTAAAGGTGAAAATGGCAGGAGTATGGATGATTTTGTTATTATCAGTGCCGATGTGTAATTATTGCTATTACTGGTATGACAATTTGTATCTCCACAATACAAGAGATATTCATTCATTTCCACTGCAGGAATCTTCATCACATCATCATGACAATAGCCGTGATAATTACTGATACCAATTCTAATGTCATTTGATAATCTTGATCCTTATTATTACTCTTATCGTTGTCATTACGATATACGTTGCAATCATACGCATTGTAGACGTTTTATCAATGTTATCTATCGTCGTTATCAGTATATAGTTAACATTGATTTTTATATCACATAATTCTTGAAAGAGACAACGATAACAGTATAACAATGATCATAACAATAACATTAGTTTTTGCGTATGTTATTTAAGATGATAGGAAAGACACTGATTATGAAGAAGGGATAAGAAACAATAATGATGGCAGTAATTAGAATAATAATGATAATACTGATAATAAATATATATGTAATACTGGCAAATATAGTGGTGTAATAGTGACACTAGTAATACTGAAATATAAGAATAATTATCCTAATTCTACCACTACTAAAAGTAATGATGATAATGACAAAAAAAAAAAAAAAAAAAATGCGTAAATGATTCATACCGGTAGCATTAATAGCAAAGTTATTATACAGAAATGATAGTAAGAACAAAAAGACTAATAGAAAAAGTATCAACAAAAATATAGGTTAATATGCTAAATAATAGTAATGATAATACAGAAATATACAAAAATGATAATATAGATACCAATGCTAACAAAACATGATAACAGAAACAAGGACAACCAAAATGATAATGATTCAATCTCTCCTACATCTCTTCATATTTCACACGCAAAGCCAAGGCCTCACCTTTCGTCCATCTTCGAGAATCACCGAACACACAGCCACCGCAACAACCCCAAACAGGCCATTTGCGCAACCATTGTTACCGACCAAATGCAGGTAAATATCGGCCGTCAGGCAATCAAGGCGGGAACCTGAACCGCGCTCCGTCGCTTATCCCGCGATTCCCCGACGCGCAACCGCAACACCTCCTCTTTGGCTCTCTCATCGGGCCAGCGCGCAGTGTCGGATGCGCAGTGCAATCGCTAATCTTACAGCACATCCCTAATAATCTCCAATTGGCGCTTTTATCCTTCAGGTTCCAATAAATCGAACTGCTTAAAGGGCCGCCGTAGTTCAGTGATCACGGACACACATCAGGTCTACTCGCTAATTAACACAAGGGCGGAGTCGTCTTCGTTCAGCCATGGGGACTCTACATGGTTCAGTGTAATTATAGGCCCTTTAATGGGGGGGGGGGGGCGTTGGGGCTGCGAAGGAGGCCCGGGAGGAGGGACTCGTGTGTGCCAGGCAAGCGCAGGAGTCAGGGAACGAGGTAGGTCACGGATCGCGTTGGGAGGAGTGGGGTGGGGTGGGGTGGGGGGCTTGTGGGTCTGATGGTGATCGAGTCTAAGATAGGGTCATTTATTACAGTGTAATCGGTTACATGAGAGTCCATGTTCAGTCGAGGAAGCAAGCGTAA